AAATTCAATTACAAATCAATTTGAAACTCCAAGGATCTCCACGGATTTAACAAGTCTAGCAGCCACAAAAATTCCAGCCACAAGTGTTTGGTGTTTGTTATTTTGGTAGCCAAATCCGAGAGCACCTTTGTCCCTTCCTCCTCCTTTTCTTAGTCCTCTTTTGATGACCCTTGTAGAACTAGCTTCTAAGGAGATAGGCTAGGTCAAACATAGGTCACATTTAAGTACCAAAATGAACATAAACAACAAAGAGATTTGAGAGTTAAAGAAGACAAGAGTAGAGTATAGGAGAAGACAATATAGATGACAAAGAACAAGAGTTGGCTAGGACAAGAAAGAAGTAACCTAGAAAGGATCTAGAATTGATTAACAAAACCAAAACACTCAAGATATGTAAGCTGAAAACATCATGTATACAATGTTCACTATGTGAGAATTAAAAATTTAAATGAACTTCTATTTGAGTTTTCTTTTTCTCTTCTCAGACTTGCACTACAAGAAAAATCATAAATTTTTTATGGAAATTTTTTTACGAATATGAATCTGTCAGAAAATATAAATTTTCCAATAAAAAATTTTTTACGGATATTTCTGTCGGATTTATATTTTCGTCGAAAATTTTTGATAGAATTTTCTATCAGAAATTTTTCGTCAGAAATTTCTAACGGAAATATAAATGTCGAAAATTTTTTATAAAAAATTTTTGAAAGAAAATTTTGTCGGAAATTTCTGATGGAAATATAAATTTATCGGAAATTTCTGACAGAAAATTTTTTACGGAAGATTCCATCGAAAATTTCCGACGAATTTTTATTTCTGTCAAAAATTTAAGACCATAACACACTTCCTAATGTCCCTTGTTCGAACTCTTCGGGAATTCGATGATCACTTTTTTTGAAATTTATAAATATTATTTTTAATATTATAAAAGGAATAATTTTTATTTTTATTTTTTAAAAAATATTTTTCTTTACTTTTATCTTTTTAAAATGACTTAAATATGTCTTTAATCTTTATAAAATTAATAAGTTTTGATTTTAGTTTATGTAAAAAAATTGTTTTTCATTTTTTAAAATTGGAATTTTTATTTTTAATTCTTATTTTTTATGTAATCATTTTTAACTACTTTTTATTTTTTAAAAAAAAATATAAATAATTATCTTAGGTATCATCTATAACAATTATGTATTATTATCATATTGATATTTAACACCTCTAAAAAAAATTTAGCTTTTAAAATAAATATTATTTATCTACCTTAAAATAATCAAACTAGTGAATTTATATTTTAGAGGGATGAAAATCAAAGAAAAATATTTTACTCATTTTACAAGTACAAAAAAATCTTTATAAATCTTACAAGGATGAAAAAAAATTACAAAGACCAAAATCAAAATCACTGATCTTATAAGGACTAAAATATATTTAAACCTTCTAAAATTAATATTTTCGATCTTAACAATTATTTTAAATAAATAATATTTATTTTTAAATATTTATAAAATACTTAGAGATGTTAGTATATTGTCTTTAAAATTATAGTAAGAAAGTTCAAGTGTGAATATTTTCATATTTGTGTGTTTCATGAGTTTTCTATTAAATAATTAGTGCATATATTAGTTTATTTAACATAAATAGTAGTTTTATATTTTAGAAGAAAAAACAAAAAAAATTTATTTTCTAGAAGTAATAAGCTTAAAATTACACACACACACACACACACACATATATATATATATATATATATATATATATGAGGAGGGTTCAAACGACACCGGTGTAACTTTTACTAAGTGTTACACCGCTCAATAACTTTATATTAATTGTGAATTTTGTAAATCTAACCGTTAAGTTGAAAGTTCATATCACTTTATATGTGTATATCAAATTTTTTTAAAATTGAACAATTGGAAAGTAATCAAAGTGTTAATATTTTAGTATATTTTGAAATGAATATATTACATCAATTTTGTTTTATAAAAATGAAGTATCAAATCATCTTGGATTAATATAAAATTTTGTGTATATAATCTAATAAATATGAAATTTCAATCTAACGGTTGGATTTACCAAATTCACATTTAATATAAAGTTATTGAGCGGTGTAATACTTAGTAAAAGTCACATTTAATATATATATATATGAGGGGGGTTATAATTACACCAGTATAAATTTTACTAAGTATTACACCTAATCTTATTTTTTATGTATTTATTTATGTGTATATAAATATTAATAAGCTTAATAAATTTTTGTTTATGTATTTACACTATAAAAAATAATAAAATTATACAATAAAAAATTATTAGTATAGTAAATTTATTAATTCTTATAAAAAAAATATTTAAAAATCATACTTTACGATGATTATAAAGTATGACTTTAACTTAAATACTTTTATATATTTATTGACTTAAAAATCATAATTCAATTTGATATAGAATATTTAAATCATAATTTATTTTCCCAAATCCGTATAAGTGATAATTGAGGTTTAAATTATGTAAAAGATAAAGGAATTTGATTTGGATAAGAGATAAAAAGAAAATAAAGATAATTAAAAGAGATAAAATATAGAATAGTTTACCGAAAATATCAGAATTTTTTCATACAATCATAATGAGATGAACAAATTAATTTAAATAAGAAAAACGATTGGAAAATATATAAAGGAATAAAAAATGATGAAGAAATTTAAATAAGGAAATCAAAGATAAATAAAATAAATATTTGAAGAAAAAATGAATAAAATTTGCATTAGGAACATAGTTCACTATGTGGGAATTAAAAATTTAAATGAAATTTTTTTTTCTCTTCTTAGACTTGCACTAGAAGAAAAATGCAAATTTTTAATGAAAAATTTCCGATGGATATTTCTGTCGGATTTATATTTTCGTCGGAAATTTTTGACGGAATTTTTCATCGAAAATTTTTCGTTGAAAATATAAATCCGTCAGAAATTTCTGACAGAAAATTTTTTACAGAAAATTCTGTCAAAAATTCTCGACGAATTTATATTTCTGTTGGAAATTTTTGAAGAGAATATGAATTCGTCGGAAATTTCCAACGGATTTTTGTTTCCGTCAAAAAATTTAAGACCATAACACACTTCCTAATGTCCCTTGTTTGAATTCTTCAAGAATCCGATGATCGCCTTTTTTGAATTTATAAATATTGTTTTTAATATTATAAAATGAATAAATTTTAATTTTATTTTTCAAAGTTTAAGATCTTAATTTCTAAAAAATTTCTAAAACCAATTTCCAATAAAGTATATTGAACCTCTTAGTATATGGGATAAACTCCTATATGCTTGTTTC